TATACTATATTATACACGAAATTGAGAAGAATATAAAATACGTATTGCTCGGATAAAGTAAAAAAGTGAGTATGAACGTTTTTTTTTAAAGACGGTTTAGTCGGAAGTCTCTTAATGGTATCAGGAAGCGCGTTTGGTATTAATTATAAATAACTAACTATAAATAACAATCAAAAGTTTTAATCAAATTTAAAAATTTGATTAGAACTTTGATATTTTTGAACCCATAATGATTTATGTCATAAGATATGGTCCCAGACCATTGCATTCACTTTGCACTACTTGCAATGCATTCGAAGTCGTCACTCCATCTATTTTTTTTGATGGGTGAAAATGGTATGGTAACCCCGCCTGCGCTAACGGGATACGCTGGCGGAGCACCAGTGAAGGATGATAGATGAGAATGAAAACAGGCCAGTTAACCTATCATGATGAATTCATCAGGAATTAACTATGATAGTTTCCAGGGGGAACCGCGAGGAGGGGAGGAGGGCGACCTGTTTGGGTATATTGCTAGCAATGGGATTCTCAGTCTCCATCACTAACAATACCTTTTCCCCCCAATCTCCATCTATTGGTTGGTCATCCTAAACTACGTTTGCCTGTACGGGATCGCCACTTAAGAACCTTTCTTCTAGACTTGCCGTTTGGTTATGGCTTAGAAAGAGCCATCCCTTCCTTTTCTATCGTAAGTAGCGACTAATGGAATTTAATGATCTAGGGATGAGCAGCAGTGTTCTTCTTAAGACATCACCAAGAGCTCAATTGTGGTTGCCAACCCGTCTGCCAAGCGTGACAGCTACCAGAAAATCCTCCAATGGTGAACACCAGAAAGAAGTGGACTTATCCCTTTCAGACCTGAACGATACGGGCGTGAGTTGTAATTTTAAAAAATTCTAAAACCGCGCGCAATTCATTTTTACGCACGAAGCTAAAATAATATGATAGTGAGATTCTAAACCAGCCAATAAGAAATCGTTTTAGCGGTTAGGTGGTGCAGAAGTCTCGTGCGTGCCGGCAAGATGGCCTGGCTCCAAAACACGAAAATATATTTGATCTGAAAGATTGAAAATCTTGGGTCTGAAAGGGTTATATTGATCTGTGCTAAAAATGTTTAGTTTCTTGGATAGATTATTATCTTAGAAGTCGGCACTTTGTTTTCTATGCTGTTATCAGCCAGCTACAGTGTAACGGATTGGTTATTTGTATCGTGTCTACGATAAATAAAATGTACGCACTTGAAATATTGCACGCGATTTACCAAAACGAAACTAATAACCCACGTTTATTAAACACATTATGTCGTTTCGATAGAGATCTTTATATATGTTATTGTAAAATCCCGTAAATTGGTAAATCTTAGAATTTAGATAGATAGATAGATAGATAATTTATTTACATTACTTATAGCACACAAATTACAATAAAAAAAAAGCATACACATAATACACAATCAAAGAGATAAAATAATGAAAATAAAAAAGCACAAAATAAAAAAAAAAACAAAATATATAAACTAACAATCTCCCTTCTTTCCCTTCCTTCATTCATTTACTGACATGGGTTGGTAAATGTAAGGATTTTATAAAAGACAAATCAATTTTGGTGTTTTCACCTAACCAAATCTAACCTAATCTCGTGGTCAAAAAGATTTTTGATCACGAATACGAACACACACACTAAACATATATGTTACTGTAAAAAGTCAAAAAGTTTACGGTAAAATTTTTTTTCTATATTTCTATTAGAGAAGATATATTATCACAACTCATGTTGGTAAATTTTAAGATTTACTGGCAAAACCTAAGATTTATCAATGTACAGGTTTTTACAATAATACATACATACGTCATGATAATCTTTCTTCTCTTTACTTATACCTATTTTGAGGTTGGCCTAATTTTTTTTCTATTCAATTCCACTTTACAAAATATTTAAAGAAAATTAATACTAATAAGTATAAATTTTTTTTTGGGAAATATAGTTTTTTTATAATCTAATTTATAATATAATAGGCCGACAGTACACCTACGATCACCTCGATGTTGCGGGTGATCATGGGCGGTGGTAGTCACTTTTTTTTATACAACTTAGAATGGCAAACAAGCTGACGGCCCACCTGGTGGTAAGTGGTAACCGTCGCTTGTAGACATGAGCAGAATCATGGACATAACAGAGTATACTGTTTCGCCCATGATACCCCCTATGCATTGCCATTTCTGAGGACTCAAGTGTTATTCCTCTGTACCCAGTAAATTCACGCCATATCCCACCTTTCGAACCGAAACACAGCCATGCAAACACAACTGCTTCACGATTGAAACACGAATGGGACAGAGGTGCCCAAGCAACTGACTTTTGTACAAAGTCCCCCACTGGTATTATATTATTTCTGATATCATAAATAAACGGTTGTCTAATATATATAATAATTTATATATCAACAATATTATTTTTCTTCCAATTGGGCAAAAAAAAAAAAGAATGGATCAGCTAATAAATTTCAGAATTGTGATGAGAAGAAGAAAAAAAATTTATATAAATTTTAAGTTGTATTAGAAATTGTTTGAAAGTATTTGTTCAAGAACTGTAAAGACTTGACCCCAAGTTAGCGCTAAGTCGCGCGGTCAAGTTTGTTTGCTTCGATTCGATCGATCTGCGGTTGCCCGGTAAAGGTCGCTCCACCTGGGTTTGGCGAGACTTATCTTAAAAAAAAAAACAAATAAAATAAAACTGGAATAATTATTAAATTTAGACAGCACTTCACCATTGCAAGACAAACAGATAGACTTTTTCTTTATGTTAACTCCATAAATGGATTTTTAACTCTGCTCGTGCTGTCAGAATGTCGGTGTGGATGAAATCAGGCCAAACGGCTCATCCTAATTCAGGAATTAACCACGATGCTTTCCACAGGGCACTGCGTGGAGGACTTCTTATATGATATTTTACTTACTTACTACTCTTTTTAATACGTAATTTTACTTGTACTCTTACGTACTTTACTTACTACTCTTTTTAATACGTAAGTAAATAGCCTTTACTTACCTTAAGAACTTTTTTTCCAGACTTGCCGTGACAGGTTATGGCTTAGAATGAGCCATCGCTACCTTTCCCGTCGTAAGAAGCGACTAATGGAATTGGGATTTGCTCACTACTAAAAATTTGATAATATGAATTTGCTCAAAATATGAAACATCAAAATACATTTTATTAATTCGTATACAGATGAAATATACTTATTAATAATTCTCACATGTGTTTGTTTGTTTGTTACTTTTTAACATTCAAATGGCTCTTTTCACCGTTATGATATGAGGAATTGTTCATTATGATGCCCACAGCCACTTTCTATCATCGTACGGCTCGTCATCGACAGGGAGTTCATCCTCATGTCCTACAGCCTTAACGGTCGCGTACTGCGCGGTTTCAGAGATGTTTCCTCCCACGAACACTCAGGTTGTGGAATGAGCTCCCCGCCGAGGTTTTATGTTTTATTTTTTACAGCATGGGGTTTTTCAAAAGGGGGGTAAAGAGGTTTCTTCAGGGTCGGCAACGCACGCATAATACCTCTGGTATTGCAGGTGTTCATAGGCTACGGTAACCACTTACCATCAGGTGGGCCGTATGCTTATTTGCCACCTCAGTGGTATAAAAAAAATATGAAGTTTGGTATGCATGCACTACCTATCATCATCATACCAGCCTTTAACTGTCCACTGCTGAACATAATGCTTTCTGTTAGGCTTTGATGATGTTTAACGAGGGACGATGCTGTTCATCCTTCGACCATTAAGTTCCCCTAGTCATTTTACAAGACTCACGGGAAACGAAGGGATTGGGACCACTCGGTAATATACTACATACCTGCTATGTATATACTATATACAGTATTTGGTCCGGAGAAAGACATATGCTTCTTTAATAACGCGCTCACGCGGGCGAAGTCGCGTGTAAGGATTAGTAATACCTGAATGTCGTGGTGAAATTTTGTTATTGTGAATTTATAGGGTACAGAGGAATAACACCCGAGTCCTCAGGAATGGCAACGCATGAGGGAGGGGGGGGGGGGATCATGGGTGAAATAGTATACTCTGTTATGTCCAAGGTACTGCTCATGTCTATAGGCGACGGTTACCACTTTCCATCGGGTGGACCGTCAGCTTGTTTGCCATTTTAAGTTGTACGAGTATAAAAAAATGTATTTTTTATTAGTTTGTGCCTACTCAATACCTACTGTTTATAAAAAGTGAAATGTAACAACAAAGACTGTGGTCATGAAAGTAAAAAAAACATTGGTTAAAATTGACTTCATAACAACATTAAGAACAACAAAAGTTAAAATATTGTAGAATAAACCACTTATTTATTTACGTGTAACTTCATCGACCACAGAACACGCAGTTCAATAGACAGACTTCGACTTACAGCGAAGTGAAATAATCTTTCTAATATTAGTGTTGTCCAGAACCCACGCCCGCCTAGTTTCTAGTTCGAAACAATATAATACAATAATGGCGTTATGGCTTAACAATATTGGTAGTCGCCATTACAATTTCAAATCGAATAATACCATCATTCTGAGAACTGCATCTATGAATCCTATCAAGCGATTCAGTGATCGCCGAGTGGCGCGTAGAAGTGGTCGTACGGTTGCGTAGCAGTCGCTACGAACGGCGGCCAACTTTGACGATCGTACGTATTATTGTTAAATAAATGTTAAAAAAACTTATTAATACATGAATAATACACTTGATTAATTTAGTATTTTAACTGGCATGACAAAAAGTTGTTATACCGTTTAGGGATATTTTTATTTTGCATTTAAATATTTAATAACTTTCAAAATAGTTTTAACTCTTGTTTTAAATTCGAATAAGTATGTTTTAAGTGGTGATAAATAAATAATAGTGTATAAATAATTATTAGTAATATTTATTAGTGATAATTAAATAGTGTCGAAACGATGCTTGGGGTAATATCTTGAACAATAATTCAAAATGGAGTCGTTTTTGCGCGTTAACGAGACAAACGAGCATTTTTACGAACGATGCACGAATCTGAGTTACTTCGACTGCAGCGAGGAGGAAATGCTCTGGTGGATGATGGGGCCCCGAAGGTTGCCTCTGCAGGAGATCATACCTATCTCCGTGGTGCTGCTGGTGATCTTCCTCACGGGCGTGGTGGGGAACGTGGCTGTGTGTGTGGTGATAGTCAGACACCCCGGTATGCACACGGCTACAAATTATTACCTGTTCAGTTTGGCTCTCAGTGATCTACTTTTGTTGCTTTTTGGTGAGTACGTTTTTAAATATTTAAACCATTAAAGTTGCCAGTATTTTATTTATTTATTTGCACACAAATCACATTGTGATTAATATAGAAGTTATTGTAATAAAAATGATAGGCACGAACCCCCTCATTCATAAAAACTAAAGCTCTCTTAAACTTATTTTAGCTATATTTTTTTCTATTGCACTAAATTCTCAATTTGAAAGATAGTGATTATGTCTCTCATAATAGGTTATAAGGGGGGAAAGGGATTGTAAGTAATGGAGACTGAGAATCCCATTGCTAGCAATATACCCAAACAGGTCGACCTCCTCGCGGTTCCTCCTGGAAACTATCATGGTTAATTCCTGATGAATTCATCATGATGGGCTAACTGGCCTGTTTTCGTTCTCATCTATCACTCTTCACTGATGCTCCGCCAGCGTATCCCGTTAGCGCAGGCCAGGTTACCATACCATTTTCACACATAAAAAAAAAATAGGTTATAGGTAAGCTTAAATATTTTATATTTACCTTCTTATTCATAAGAACGTTCAAAACGTTTTTATGAATAAGAAGGTAAAAATAAAATCCAAAATATTTAAGCTTAGTAGCTTGTTATATTTATTGAATACAAAATTCGCGTGCTACAATCAATCCCTAAAGAAATGTAACTGTTCATTAACAAGAATTAAGTTACAGTAAAAATATATAAGTTATATTAGGTTTCTATATAGAAAAAGATATAAATTTGGCTAATAAATATTGCAATTTTTTTTTATAATATACTGTCTACGCGTGGATTCTAGGTAATCACCTTTAAATGGCGTATCAAAGACAAAACATACCAGATTATAAGTTTGACCTTCAGGATTCCAGCTGTGAAAAGCGCATTTATTTTGTTGTAGCAGTTTTTCTGTGCTAGAGACAGTAAAAAAAAATTTAATTATGATTGTTCTAGCTTCTATTATCAGATTATCATATTAATATTTCATACAAATATCGATTAAGGACCTTGAATGGTTCAGAAATTAGTCGAGCTTTCTCGAACTAATTACATGTAAATTAAATTGTTAATTATAACATTAATATATCGCCTAGTTACAATTCTATTCCACTGACAGATTTATATTTTAATAGCTATTTTCCAGACATTCGTTTGAACTAGAACAAGTGACAAGGCGTTCTTCAAAAGGGGCGTAAAGAGGTTTCTTCGCGCGTAATACCTCTGGTATTGCAGACGTTCATAGGCTACGGTAACCGCATACCATCAGGTGGGCCGTATGTTTGTATGCCACATTAGTGGTATAAAAAAAGTGACTTTTCAAGAATCAATCATCCTCATTTCACTCATCATCATCATATCAGGCGTTAATCATCCACTGCTGAGCACAGGCCTCTCGCATAAGAACAATTCATGCTATTTATATTTAGTAAGCTATCAAATTTGAATTTTGATGGTAAATTCTAAAGAATTTTACTTTGAAACTTTGCATTTTGTTCAATGATTAACGTTCGAGTTCGCTAGCAGAGCATTTTTTTAATAATCAACCAGAAACATTAAAAATACTTGAATTGTTTTTGAAAATTGACAGATGTTTACGACCTTGCACTACTTAGTTATGAACGCTATTAAAAGAGCTTGTAAACAAGTGTATTTGAATAAAGATAACTCCCTTCTATTCTATTCACTACTCTGACTCTACTAAGCACAGGGATACTTTGTATAAAAGTCGTTTGCTTGGGCACCTCTTCGTGTTTCTACCGTGAATCGGTTGTATTTGCATGGCTGTGTTTCAATTTGAAGGGTTGGATATGGCAGTAAATTTACAGGGTGCAGAGTAATAACGTCTGAGTCCTCAGGAATGGCAACGCATGGGAGGTATCATGGGCGAAATAGTATTTACTTTGTTATTTCTATAGGCGACAGTTACCACTTTTCATCAAGTGGGCCGTTAGCTTGTTTGTGATTCTAAGTTACATAAAAAAATCGGTTACGGTACTGATTTTAGATTACAAAAAAAGTAAATACACATGTAATTATCTTTATTGTGGATCGTAAGTTAAGGTATTTATTACTTCAATTAAATAGTTTCTCCATGTCCTGATATATAAGCGTACAATATATAATATAAAAGAAGTATAAAGTAGCTACATGCATTACCTAACAATAGATAGAATACTACATTATATAGTTTATATACATAGCATATAAATAGTAAAATAAAACAAATAAAAATAAAACAAATATTTCTAAATTAATGAAGATTATTTATGTTGTGTCATGCAACAAAAGCTGTACATTTCAAATAGGTACCCACCAATATTTGATTATGTATAGGTATTGTGTACTCTAAGTGACGCAAATCAATTATCTATCTATCTATCTATTATGTATATATCAAACAATGATTAGATGAGCTGTTCACGCGTCAAGAGATAGAAATTAAACAAGCAAACACACGGAGGAGATAGAATAAGTTTTTGAGTATACCCATTGCAATTTTGTCTTAAAATAGACGAGTTATAAAATTGGGCGTTTCAAAGAGGCCATTGGTTGGCACTTCATTCCTTCTGCCCACATTGTAAGGGTTTTAAGTGGAGATAGAAATAGACTATTTCAGTGGAATTTAATAATAATTTAAGATTGTGTTTTACAAAATAAAACGAATTTTATTATGGTAAAAACAGTTATTTCAAATTAAATAACTGAATTACTAAATTTTGAAAAAAATCTATACGTAGGTCCAATATGTTATTATACCTTTTCAGATAAAAAAGAATTTTTCAAATCGGTTTATAATTGACGGATTTATGAGGTAATAAACATTAAAAAAAAATAATAGAACCGAAGGGAGAACCTTTCTCTTTTCGAAGTGAGTTCTATTGTTTGGTTTATTGTGTTTTTTCCACGCATAACCAAACTACGGAACCAAATGCCGGAAGCAGTACTGCAGATACGACACCGAAACCTTCATGATAATAGCGTTATTCCTTCCTAAAAGGCCGGCGATACCTGCAATTTCTTTAATATTTCGGCTGCATATGGGCGGCGGTAATCACTTACCATCAAGTGTGCCGCTCGCTCATTTGCCCCATATGTTACAAAAAAAGAAATATAACGCAGTCTGCTGATGTTCAACAGTAATACAAATAAAAGATCCTTTGCAGTGCAAGCTGCTTGATTCTAGAATTCTCTCCCAAATCATACCAGTATGGTGCAGACCGTCCATGCCTTCAAAGCTCAAACAAAAAGATTTTACAATACAATTGACTGTTGAGTTACTTATATACGTATGTATAATAGTTATTCTATGTTTATATATGTTTAGTTATATTTATATATGTATCTGTGTGTATGTGTATATATATATTTTGTTACTATTTTTTTTGCACCATAAATGTTATGCTTTGTATACAAACCCAATAGACACTTTTTCCCTTCGGGTTCTCAAGGTTGGTTGGAAGAAATCCCTTTAAGGGATAAGTCTGCTTGTTTACATTTTTGTTATACCTTAAAAAATATTATACGTGAATATACAAAAGCATATAAATAAGTAAATAAAAAGTCAATTAATTGATTGAATATTTCGATGCGTTACTCATTTCATTTAGAGAGTGTTACTGTGATAATTTAAATAAAACTTTGTTGTATTTTCATTAGGCTTTATTGAAACATATTATTTTTTTACATATTCCAAAAGTTTTCTGTATTATTTAAAATTGTAATACAAAACTTTTCACAAACTACTCCCTGTAGTGAAACGAACAAACAAAAAAAAAAAACAAAGTTGCACGTATTTTTATAACTACTTCAAAATTAGAGAGTCACAATTTCGATTTTCCGAGAGTCAACGACTATTTCATAATGTTACGGCCTTTGATCTCTCCCATTCATCAAGTACTCGGCGACGTTCATTCTGTAATCCACAGAATCTTGATATAAATGAGTTTCTCCTAGGCTCGTTCCTAGACTTCCCTCAGATAGTCTGAAAGGACAAGATTAGGTTAGGCATTCCTTTGATGAGATGTAAACGGAATATTTAAATAGAATTTACTTATCTCCGAACTGTCGGCATTCCTATTAGATATTTATAGAGAAGAAAACCTGATGTTTAATACTCTTACAATTTTTTATTAAATGCTGGGAAATAAATCTTTTTGTTCTACTGATATGAATCAGATATATAGGAAAAACTAGGTGTCATATCGTATAAGGAGGTCAAAGATATGGCCTGGAATAGAGTTGGCTGGAAGAATATGCATGAATTTTTTGCACAGACAAGAGGAAACTTATTTTTTTATCTTTTTTTATACAACTTAGAATGGCAAACAAGCTGACGGCCCACCTGATGTAAAGTGGTAACTGTCGGCTATAGACATGAGCAGTACCATGGACATAACAGAGTGTACTGTTTTGCCCATGATACCCCCCCATGCGTTGCCATTCCCGAGGACTCAGGTGTTATTCCTCTGTACCCAGTAAATTCACGCCATATTCCACCCTTCAAACCGTAACACAGCCATGCAAACACAACTGCTTCACGGTTGAAACACGAATGGGACAGAGGTACCCAAGCAATCGACTTTTGTACAAAGTCTCCCTCTGATAAAAAATCTTAAATAAGAAGAGAAACCATTAATGTAATGTATTTAAACGTAATAAAATTCACAAGAGCATTTTACATGTTGTGTTCTTGTATAAAATTTATAAGGGGGTTGCCAACTGCGCGCAGCTGTTTAGTACCTAAATTCTATTTCAACATTTATTATGTCCTCACAAGAATATTTAATCATGTCCTTCTAGACCATCTGTAGCTCAGACAAATAACTGTTTTGGTCTGAACTGGTGAGATTAGGCGAAACTTATTTATATCAAGCTTGAAGAGAAAATTATGCTTAATCTACGCATTTTAAAAATAAAAACACTTCACATTTTCTTGTTTTGTTTATTGTGCTTACATGAGATTAATGTTTACGAAACCCTTGTGTTTTTAAATAGAAAATAAAAATATTTGAGTCTCGGTTTTTGGACACAATTGATACAATGTAGTTTCAATTTTGTACAATAATGTGTGGACCTCATTGAATGAAATTCATTCATATTTTTTTTTAAAGGAAACCACACCACGTGATATTAATATTGCTAAATCAGTGAAAACCTTTTTATATGGATAAGTTGTTGTTATTTTAAGCTATAAATAGTAAGCCGTTGGTTTTCCAATAAATAAATAAGTTTATAGACATCAATTGGCAGTATTTATTTTAGAAGAAAACTTCTTTCCCATTTGTGTTTCTGTCACTGACCAACTCTTTACATTATTATGTATATTTGAAGGGTGAGAGAGGGCACGGAGTCGTAACATCTTTGTTTTTAGGAATGTTAAACTATGAGTATTGTATCTTGTATGGGCATACAATTTTTATATATATAGTTTCAGTCAGGTATTGATTTTTTTTTTGATGGGTGAAAATGGTACGGTAACCCCACCTGCGCTAACGGGATACGTTGGCGGAGCACCAGTGAAGGGTGGTCGATGAGAATGAAAACAGGTCAGTTAGCCCATCATGATGAATTCATCAGGAATTAACCATGATAGTTTCCAGGGAGAACTGTGAGGAGGTCGACCTGGTTAGGTATATTGCTAGCAATAGGATTCTCAGTCTCCATTACTAACAATCCCTTTCCCCCCCAGGTATTGATATTGTAAATTTAAACAGCAGATGCACAGCCAAATGTAATAATATATTATTTATAACACAACCACATTACGGAAATGAAACAAGTTCCATTTTATATAAAAATGCATTACAGGCTCTCATGGCCAGCATAACACTTCCAACAATGTGATAAGTTTTCGCCTACTAAATATTTGAATGGAGTAGTAGTAACCGTCGTTGCTGGGGAGAAAGGGATTATTAGTAATGGGTTCATGAACATAACATATCCTATTAGGTCGACCTCCACACGGTCCCTTCTGTAAACCGTCGTGGTTAATACTTGTCGAATTCGTCACGATGGGTCAACTAACCTGCTTTATACTCACCTGTCATCTTTCACTGGTGTCTCGCCAGCGTATACCGATAGTGTAGGTGGCGTTTTTATTGGACGAAAATGGTATGGTAACCCCGCCTGCGCTAACGCGATACACAGGCGGGGCACCAGTGAAGTGTGATCGATGAGGACGAAAACAGGCCAGTTAGCCCATCATGATGAATTCATCAGGAATCAACCATGATAGTTTCCAGGGGAAACCGCGAAGAGGTTGACCTGGTTGGGTATATTGCTAGCAATGGGATTCTCAGTCTCCATTACTAACAATCCTTTCCCCCCCCAACCATAGTGGTTAATTCTTGTTCAATTGGTCACTATGGGCCAACTGACCTGCCTCATTCTTACCTATCATCCCTCACTGGTGCCCCGTCAGCGTATACCGATAGCGCTAGCGGGATTACCATTCCATTATCACCCATTAAAAAAAAACGTATACCTATTTTGGGTTACTCGATATTTTCCCCACAGTGTAGGTGGGGTTAGCATTCCATTTTTACACATAAAAAAAAAACCGTCGTTTTTATTTCATGTCAGGCCCTCTAGATAAGTGGCAAGCGAATACGTCGATGGATTCGACATCGCTAGCGAGTCCGTGAGTTGGAATGAGTCATCCGGCATTGCTATCTCATTCTATATCACGGAGTCGCTAGCGATGTCGATTCCGTCGATGCTACTTAATGCCACTTGCCACTCGTCTAGAGGGCCAGGTGAGTAGTCAGTCTATTTACTAAATTAATTCGTCTATAAAAATTTTACGTCTACATGGGATGAAAATTTGGGGTTTACCATGAAATTAAATTCCGAATTTTCGGACTCAATTTCGTGTTTCTGTCCCGAATTTGGCGCAGTAAATGGAGATTAACATTTTATTTGTCATAAATCTTAACATAAAAGTCTAAAGGAACGATATTTTGATATTTTTAATATTTTTAAACGGTATATATTATGTAATTTTAACATAAAATATTTGTTTTTTTGTCCGCGAAATTTTGGAGAACATTACATATTAGGCTCTTCTACCATTACTTCCGAAACAATAAAACTTTTGAAATATATATATATATATATATATATATATATATATATATATATATATATATATATATACTGCTCATGTCTATAGGCGACGGTTACCACTTTCCATCAGGTGGGCCGTCAGCTTGTTTGCCATTCTAAGTTGTATAAAAAAAAAAAGTTAGAAAGCATGTTGTTAGCGGGTAGCTGAAGTGCTACAACTATTAATATTTAGAGTACATCAACAAATATACAGTTAAATAAAATATTAAGATATATATACATACATATTCGTCACGCCTATCACCAATTAGGGTAGGCAGAAACAATGGAACGCCAAATGCCTCTCTTGAAACAATCTATTTAAAAATTTAATATCGCATATTGACAAGGTTTCGAAGCAAATATTCCGTAAAATCTCAGTATACGAAATATTGTTCCTTTATTAATGTATTTATTACCTTATTACTCTTATATGTGATTTTAATATAACGTCTGTCGGGAACTCTTTACTCATTACCAGAGGGAGACTTTGTACAAAAGTCGATTGCTTGGGTACCTCTGTCTCATTCGTGTTTCAACCGTGAAGCAGTTGTGTTTGCATGGCTGTGTTTCGGTTTGAAGGGTGGGATATGGCGTGAATTTACTTGGTACAGAGGAATAACACCTGAGTCCTCAGGAATGGCAACGCATGGGGGGTATCATGGGCGAAACAGTATACTCTGTTATGTCCATGGTGCTGCTCATGTCTATAGGCGACGGTTATTACTTTTCATCAGGTGGGCCGTCAGCTTGTTTGCCATTCTAAGTTGTATATATATATATAAAAAAAAAAACTCTTGAATTGAGTAAGCGTCTAATTTTGAATACTCGTTTTTACAAATTTAGACGGTTTGGAATTTGATGCGTTGTAATATTATTATTGGCGGCCGGCCGATGCAAACTCTTTAGACAATGTTATACTTTTTTATATACATTTACTTTTGGAATGTTCTTATTATTTGTAATTTAAATTTTATATTTTTTGACACATATCATATTGTTCTGTTCTGTTCCTTGCTTGCTGTTTAATAAATTTTATTTCGCCACTATAAATTCCGTGTCTACATCATTTCATCACCTCACCACAGTCCACCGCTCCGTAATAATTATAATCTTGGAAGGTTTCAAAGTGTTTTTTGAGATGTATTTGTTATTTTTTTTTTTACAACATAGGTAGGTAAACGAGCATGCGGCTCACCTGATGGTAAGTGATTACCGCCGCCCATGGTCACCCACAACACCAACGGCATTGCAGGTGTATTTTTTTTTTAATGGATGATAATGGAATGGTAAACCCACCTGCGCTATCGGTATACACCGGCGGGGCACCAGTGAAGGATGATAGGTGAGGATGAAGCAGGTCAGTTAGCCCATCGTGACAAATTCAACAAGAATTATTCACGATGGTTTCCAGGGGGAACCACGTGGAGGTCGACCTGATAGAGCATATTGCTAGCAATGGGGCTGTCAAACTCCATTACTAACAATCTCTTTCCCCCCATTGCAGGTGTATTGCTCACCTTTTGAAAAGGAATATGCTCTTTTCTTGAAGGTTATGATGTCGTATTTAGAGAAATGAGATAATTTTTTTGATGATTGACGATAAAATAGGTATAAAATACATTGTAAATTGATAGGATATGTTTTATTGTTAGCAAATACAATGTTTCAAGATTGTATTTGCTGAAATACACTTTCCTTATCATTTTACCTTCCTATATAGACGACTTTGTACAGACTTGCGTTAGTACATAGTTTAGTACATACGAATAACTGGATCGATTGATACATAATAGCTAAATTTCAAATACAATAGTCGCTTACTAGCAATATACGCTGTTAGGTTGACCTCCACGTGGTTCCTCCTGGAAACCATCGTGGC